AATGAGTATTGCATTTTTTCTGCTTAACTTTGTCCAATAAGTAGACTTCGGGGAAACCTGCTGTGATGTCTGTAATTTAATGGTAATTCCACTGCTTGTAGTCTCTATCCTCCTTGTAATTGTCAGTCTGCAGGATGTAATTGGGGATAGACAGATGAACCATGTTTACAAGATGCCTTTGAAAATTCAGTCTTACAGCCATGTAAGATGTAAATGCCAATATTTTATAACTGTTCTAAGAAGTGTATTTAAATTAAAAAATGACTCTTAAAAATGTGTGCTCCGACTGATCTTTCACATTTCGCACATTTTGCAAGAATGGAGAGTGAAAGGTGACAGGGAAAAGTATCTTTTTAGTTGCTGGAAGTGTATTTCTTCAGCAGTGAGAGGCATGAAATAATAAAATATTTTGCAAGTGTGCATGCTGAGAGCAGTTGAGTAACTTGGAGTTGGAGGCAAGATTTTATGTGCTCGAGCTTCTTTCAGGATGGTTTGGTTGAGAGTTTGTTACAGTACTGCAGCTGAGACACACTGTTTTTTCACTGTGTAACAGGTTCTATAGAATCACTTAGATTGGAAAAGACCTCTAAGATCTTCAAGTCTGAGCGTAAAGCATAAACCACTATGGATTGATTTGTTCAGGACTACTGATAATATTCCAGCTGTGGGAGACTTCATGTCTTCCTTGCAATTACTTTTTAAGACTGAATTGGTCTTAACAGTATTTGAGTTTCTCTGCTGGGCCACAGTGTTTCTTGCATGTAAAGCTTATCAATTTAATTTTATATGCAGCTAGATTTAAAAAAAAAAAAAAGGTACAAGTCATTATTGCCAGCAAAATGAATAACAGCTTGCAGTGGGTTCTGAGTTGCAGTGCTCATGTGACTGCTATACTTCTTAAAATTTTACATTCTAAAAAACCTAATGTTGTTATTGTATAGAGTATTTTTTTAGAATTTCTTAGAATTTCTCAGAATTTGCTAGGTGAATAACTTCCCAGTTTTCTGACGGTTCCAGACTACAGAGGTGGCAGTATCTGTAAAACCACATTTCAGTCGTTGAATCTGGAGGAGCAATGCTTTACTGACCCAAGTTGTATTCCGATTTTGTTAAGATTTTATTTCTGGCAGAACTTGGATGCTGTTTCAGTCAAATTATCTTCTTCCCCTGTCTGTTACTTTGCTCTCTTTTTCAATAGGCAGAGAAAGTAGATGCAGCACTTCATAGTATGTTACTGAAGCAGGAACCACAAAGGCAACATTTGGCTTGCTTGGGCACCTGGGTCCTATATCATAACCTTCGTATTATGATACAATATCTTCTGAGTGGCTTTGAGTTGGAGCTTTACAGTATGCATGAATATTACTACATATATTGGTAAGAGGATGCTTTATTGACAGCTGTTGGAGGAGGAATGCTCCCGCAGAGCTACAATTGTCAATATTTAAAGGAGGGATTTCAACTATGATTTTTTTAATCTCAAGCATGCTCAACACAGTGTTTAGTTTACCTAGTCATAAAATTACAAGTGGAGAAAAAAAAATCTGTTGGTCTCTTTTCTAGGCTTACTCAATAGTGTACTTTGTTGTTTTTCTGAAATAGTAATTCACTCTTGATTTAGCTTGTTAGAACAGCATCTTCTAATGGCAGTGAATGAAAAATGTACTCGTTTTGGCAGGCAAGAGAATGCAGGAGGAAAGCAATTTCCTTTATTCTTTTTTGTCTTTGTAGTACCAAGACCCATGGTCTTGTTGATCTCCAGTATTTTTTAAAAGATCTCCCGAGTTTTAAGTTGTGACCATAATCTGGAAGTTGACTGTGTAAAAATAACCTCTTATTCTGTGAGCATATTTGAAGAGACATCTACCATTAGTGAAAATGATTGCACTATAGGGAGTCAAAATACTTTTAATTTTTCCGCTTCCATTCACAATTATTTTTTCCTAGTTGATGGCTTGGTCCGACAAAGAAATTATTTTAGATGGTTTGGTTTTGATTCATCGTTAAAAATTTGATGTTGAACCTTCCTATGTTAAAGTGCTTCTGTACTGTGGTGTGGTGTTTTGTTTTGTTTTGTTTTTCCCTGTACAGCTACCAATAAACTCCCATTAGGTAAACTGTAAGCCTTATTTTTGAGAGATTAGACTAGTTCAAGTGACTTGAGCTTCAGTGCATCTCGTTCTATTTCTATGCCGTTTCATTAGTGCATTAAGCATGAAGTGAGAAAATTCATACTCCAGGTAGTTACCAGAAGGTGGCAATGTTCTTTAATTAATACCTCAATAATAAGAAGAATATAAATTTTTCTCTAAGACAGTATTTCTTACTTGCCTGTGTTTCTCTCCACCATTTTAGTAAAATCACTCTTAATTGGAACTGTCATGTCAGCTGCTTTATCTCCTCGGTGTAAATGAAGAACAGAAACAAGAGGAAGTTTCTGAGGGGAAATGTGCAAGTGAAACTAATAATTATTTTTCAGTAATTTCTCTTCTGAATTATGACTTCTTATGAAGTATTATTTCTTCTTCATGTGCTCCAGATCTGTAATTTCTACTCTTTTTTTTTTTCCTCCCCATTCCTTTTGATTTGGAGTCAGGCAGGAGATTTATTGGACTCGGTTCCACTTACTAAGAAATGGCTCTTAGAGAATTCTTAAAAGATTTCTCTTAAACGGATCTTATGTTCCTGTGGGCCTGGCCCTTTTATTTAATAATTCTTGGCTTTTTAGTGCTTGAAGCAAGTCAGTAATAACCTTGTTTCTCAAAAGAGTAATTCCTAATAAAAGTAGAAAAGGTACTCACATAGTATCTTTTTTTTTTAAATGCTTCATTTGCTGGGGGAAGGAAAAATTCTAGAAAAATAAGATCTTACGTGGGTTTTTAAATAATAAGCTCAGACTTTACTTATTAAATATGTAAGAAACATGCACACCTTGAGCTGTCTATAGTTGAATCTGTACAGTCTTGTTTTAAAAAAAAAAAAAACAAAAAACAAAAAACCCAGAAACAAAAACCACAGAACAGAACATGGACTAATCTGTTGATTTCAGCCATGCAAAGCAAATACTGTTTAATGCCCTTGAAGTTGTCCTTTGCCGCTAGTTCTTTGAGTAAATGACTTGGCATTCAGTGAGGATGTGTGCATTATGAATACAGTTTGCACTGCAGTACGTAACAGCTACATACTGTTTTTTACTGTAGGTATCTATCGGAGTTCCTCTATGCCTGGTTGATGTCAACACTGAGTCGCGCTGACAGCTCTCAAATGGCGGAGGAGAGAATAATGGAGGAGCAACAGAAAGGCCGTAGTAGTAAGAAAACAAAGAAAAAGAAAAAAGGTATCTAGGTGTAGAGTGTGGCTCAGATTTTTTCCCCTTCATGCAGCCATGTAGAATTAAAACTCAAAATTTATAGAGTCAACACTGATGTAGGTAGGAGAAATGGTCTGAAGTTCATGAAGGCTGAATGCAAAACTTCGTAACTAAAACAGTTGCTGTGTAAGAATTTCACATTTATTTATTTATTTATTTACTTTTAAATAAGTCTTTCACAAAAATTTGAACTCATTTGTATTCACAGCTTCACCAATTGTGTTATGGGTTGGATCCTGTGAGATGTAATTAACAGGTCCAGAGCAATTACCTTTGAAAAGTATTACCTTTCTACAGTCTATAGTTCCTGCAGAATTCTGTTTTTTCTGACTGTAGATAGGTTCAAAGACTAAACTTTCAGTGTATTTCTGTAATTTCTTTTTGCCTTTAGAAGGTGTTCAAGCATGTTTCTTATTTTTACAGTGGTGAGTTGCCCCGTTTCAGTTCAGTGGTAGTACTGTTGTGCAAAAGCCCCTTTAGAAACTCGTGCTTTCTCTGGTGTATATGTATGAGAGAAAATGAGAATTTCCCTTCCTGCATGGAAGGGAATGCCTGCTACCAAAAAGGCATCCAAAACCAGTGTCTTAAGTGGCATTTGATACAGATTTGCCATGTTTAAGTGGCTGCTAAGATTGTGGTGTGTTGGAGTTATCATAGCATTGACATTGCGAATAAAGACCATGCAGAAGCTTGCTTGCGTCCTTGCTATTCCTTCTTTTTTGTGTGATTATCCTTGTCTGCTTTTCAAGGGGAACAATTGGGTATGAACAGCTCAAGGTTATATCAACTAAATTCTCTTGGCCTTAGAAATTCAGAAAATTACTACTGTATTTTATACTTTCTAAAAAGGTGCCAAGCTTGGGGCAATTTGGCATTAGTTAAACACTGGAAGCTAAAGGGAAGCTTAAAGGGGTGTTATCGGCATAAAAATCTTTCTTATTAGGATAAAAATGCTTTAACTTTTTAGTCTTAAAAGTTTAAAAGAAAATCTGTGAAGTAAGCAAACAGATCTCTCAACTACAAGCTTTAAATTCTAGACTATTGTTTAGCATTACATAGTGACATGGTAATACTATTGGCTGTCTGGAGCCGTTTGTTTCATTGACGGCAGTGTGGTGTTCATGTGACTGTTAAATATCTTGAGATGTTTTGTGTAATTGGGAGCCAGGTGAGCAGAAACGCATGTCCATGCTTTTTATGCCTCCAGATTTCTTTCATTGTTTTAAAATATAATTGAGAATTATGCCACTTTCTGAGAATTTGAAGAAATTGTTTTGATCTGAAATTAAAATGTACTTATGTTGAATTAAAAAAAAAAATTTGTGAAATTTGCAGTTCGCCCTCTCAGCAGAGAGATCACCATGAGTCAAGCATACCAAAATATGTGTGCTGGGATGTACAAGGTAATTTATTTGTGCTTACTGAACAATGGCTTCCATTTTTTTGTAAAGGGAATCAAGCGTATGTTGCATGCCTTCTTTGTTTTTAGTGGGACTGGAAATTAATTTCAGGTGTATAATATGATATGGTAAATTCTCTACTATTTTGCTGTCCTTCCAGTTATAGCTGAATCATAACTTTCATCTTGCTCACAGCAAAATATGACATAAAGCTAACACTTTTCACTGTGTTTATTCTTTCCTTTTTAGACAATGATTGCATTTGACATGGATGGCAAAGTAAGAAAACCTAAGTTTGAACTGGATAGTGAACAAGTTCGGTATGAGCACAGGTTTGCTCCATTCAACAGTGTTATCACACCACCACCAGTGCACTACTTGCAGTTTAAAGTGAGTACACTCAAAACATGGTGCCACTTATCCTTTTAGAAAAGTTATTCGCTCACCCGCTTCGGACGTTGTTGTCATTGTAAGAAGAGCCTTTAATATCTCACAGTTCATATTGAAGCATCAGTCAAAATGGCAAGGAGTTCTAGGTTTAGTTGTATGCAAGGAAAATATATTGCTTTGAATTCTTACTAAAATTAGACTCTTAGATGTTTAAAAATTGGTCTGATGTTGCTGTTTGAGACGCTTGTGTTGGTTTGCATGAAAATAAAATCTCTTGAGAGTCTATTGACAGACTTTTTGGCTGTGGATTATATAGCAGCCATGTTTTTATTACTGCACCAAGCAAACAGGAAAATGAAACAAAAGTAATTTTGAGTGTTAAGTCACAGAAGTGTTGGTTGAAAGGGACCAGTGGAGGCTTGTCTTATTCAGTCTCCTCCTTGAAGTAGCATTATAGATCACATCAGCTGTGTCTTTGTCTAGCCAAGTCTGAAAAAATCAAAGGATGGAGATTTTCCAACCTCTTTGGTTAACCTGGTCCAGTTACTTTTTCTGGTCCATTTAGTCTTTGGGTAACCTGATTGAGGGCTACACTATTCACCTTTTTTTCCTGATGTCCAGTCTGAATTATCCAAGCCACAGTTTGTGACCTCTACCCCCCTGTTATATTGTCTGCCATTAACAAGGAGCATTTGTCTTCTGACAACTTTGTATCTGCCTTTCAAGTAGTAGCAGGCTGCTATTAGGACTACCTGTTAGCATCTTGTCTATCTGAATAAGCCAGGTTCATTGACCTCTCCTTGTGGGTCATGTGCTGTAGGCCCCCAGCCACCTCTGCATCTCAGCATCTTGAGCTGAGTGGATCCAACACTGGATGCAGTATTTCAGATGTTAGAGCACAAATATTGAATATAGGATGATAACCTTCCTTGATCTGCTGGCCATACTCCTGCTTGTGCAGTCCCATATGAGGCTTGTCTGATTTGTAGTAAGAACACCTTGTTGGCCTGTGTTCAACTTGGTGTTCACAGTAACCCCACGACTCTTCCAGCTGGTTATTAGCCTCTACAGATTTGTGGGGTTGTTCTGCCTCAGGCGCAGGAATTTGGACATTCCTTGTTGAACTTAGATTTCTAGTGGCCAGACTTTAAATTTTAAAGGTCTGTCTGAACTGAAACTGTAATATTTTGTGTGCCAGTCACTGCCCCTAATTTAGTGTTATGAACAGTTGTAGTGGAAATTAAAATTATCATGGCTTCCTCATTGTCACTGACGTTTTTTTTATCCCTAATTAAAAAAAAAAAAAAAACCACAAAAATTGCAACTGTCAAAACTATGTAAGATGAAGTTTTGAACAGTTTCAGTATCTCACTTGCTGTAGACTTGGTTTGAGTAAACTATATCATATACTTTTTTTTTCTCCTATTTTTTTCCTGTAATCTCACACCCTGCTGCATGGCACTATGAAATGTGCAAATGAAATACAAGTTGTTCAGGAGAGGGATTGTTTTATAAAGAATATGAGATGTTCATTGCATTCTGTGGCACTATAAAATAATTGTCAAGTACCATATTGCTGCTTGGTATTTGCCACTTTAAATAAATGTTTTCAACTTCAGTATTTATTCTTAAAATATTATTTAGTCGACATAACTTTTTTCTTGAATATAGTAATTTGTTTTCATTTAAGGTGATAAAAATACACTTTGTTGGCAACTGATTTTAATATGTATTTATATATTTCTGTAACACACTAGGAGATGTCTGATTTAAATAAGTACAGCCCACCTCCTCAGTCATCAGATCTCCACATGGCTGCTAGCAAACACTTCCAGCAAGCTAAAATGATTCTTGAGAATATTCCTAATCCGGACTATGAGGTAAAACTGAATACTGGGAAAAGGAGTATTTGCTTATAATAGATTGTGTTTGTTTCCAGCTGGATCTACTTCAGATCCAAGTGTCCTTTGTGCTGAGCAAAGCTCTGAGTGCTTTGATTGAGGAGTGGCCAGAGGAGGGCAGTGGCATCTTACACAGTGGACTGTTTCAGTCCATTAGATAAAATTATCAGGGTTGTGCTCACTGGTCCAAAACCTCTCCCTGCTGAGTGTCTTAGATGCCAGGTAGCAACGTAGTTCCTTCTTGCACATTTCCTTCCAGTCCTGTTCTAAAAGCTTATCAGTTTTAACAAGACGGTGCGGTGTGACTGCCTCACTTAATGTTGAATCTGGTAGTTCAGACGCACTCCTGAGAGGTGAGGAAAAGAGGTTTGCATGTCATTAGGCTGAAAAGAGGGTTGAATCTGGCACTTGTTTCCTGGGAGCAGTTTTCTCAGCACTGGGCTGTAAACACGGGCAGGAATTTGTCCCTCTTTGTTCATAGCCTAAAAACTAAGTGTCTGTGATGGTATTTTGGAGCAGGGAGGATGCTTATTCTGTTGCATCTGAGCAGGTTAAGAACAGTTATGGGATTAGGTTCTCCTGAGAATGTAGGGATCCCTGCCTGTTCTTTGGATATTGGTGGTACTTGCACACAAACTATCGGATTGAGGCTAAACTGGGGTAGCTAGAGGTAGTTTGAGTATGCCCGGAGCAATTCCATGCAGAAAGCCACCAGTTAATACTTGGATTTCCCCTTCTCACCATGTCACAGTGTTGAGGGTAGATGCATGGATTCTGTCTAAACCTTTGTTTGGATGAGTGCCTCAGAGATTGCCATTGTTTAACAATTTTTGAACATAAGCATGTAGAGCAGTGGTTTCTGTGGTCTGTTGCATAGAAAACAGACAGTTAAAATAAACGCCCCCTTCATTAAATGTCATTGGTTCAGTTTACGCTTCAAAGCAAATCCAAAATGCCCTGATCTCTATTAAACTGATACTGGAAAAGGACTGCTGTATGTAAATGTTTGAGTATTATCTTTGAAATAATTTTGAGGTCATATACTTTCACTTGAAAACTTCTTGCTGTTTTGTGTTTAGGTCAATCGAATTCTAAAAGTTGCTAAACCAAATATTGTGGTCATGAAGCTGCTGGCAGGAGGCCACAAAAAAGACTCCAAGGTAAGAAAATGCCAGTTGAATTCAATGTAAAACAGTATTGCTCACAGTGCTACCACAGATCTCTTATAGCTGAATGAGCAGATTCAGGCCATAGTTACTCTAACTCTTAAAAGAACTGGGGAAGTAATTTAATCCATTTTTCCCATGGAAATAGTCTATTGTAGTTATTTAGATGTGGAAAACTCATTTCTAAGTGTTTTGGAAAAAGAATTTGGAAGTGCATGTGGGATGACATGTACAAACATGGCTACTCTTCAAGAGCCAGAAGAAGTAATCAGTAGCAGCTTGTGTGAACACCCACGGGAGAGTGGTGGCTATGGGGATTAGCGGGTGCCACATGGGTGAGAGGGAGGAGGCGGCCTTCAGACTTCCTGCCGCAGGCTAGGCACAGGAGGATGAAGAGGCACACCAGCACTCTACAGCTTTGTGCCCATCATTACTGGAGAATGACTGGCATATCCAGAACTGTGTTGGAATATTTTTCAGATGTTAATTTAAAAAGCTAGAATTATTTTAATTTTTTTCAGTCTTTTGCTGTTTAAAAGTTTTTCTTCTGTCTGCAGGGTATCCCTCATTCTGAGTATTAAATTCAGTAGTACTCCTGTGTAATGTTTTAAACCTTCTTTCTAGGTTCCTCCAGAATTTGACTTCTCACCCCATAAATACTTCCCAGTTGTGAAGCTTGTTTGAAAGACGAGATTGTTAGGATACCTGAAGCATAATCCGCGTATCAGATACCAGCTGTAGGATGAAATACCTAGTGCTGTACCCAGACTGAGAGGGATCTCCAGGATAAAAGTACTGTTATGTGGAATATCTAGTCTGCTGCCTTTATGTGATCTGAATGACGACTGCTGTTTTAAAGTGGTTTGTGTGAAGTCTTACAGGTGAAGCTGATTTTAACTAACTGTATTGCTGAAGAATGTTGTACCTTAATTGATTACAGACTTAATCATAAATCATTTTTATGAATGAGCTCTGACAGAAAATGGTGGTTTAGGGATTTAATAACATTTGGGACTGAATAAAAATAATGCAGTACAGCCTCATGTCTGCTAGGCATATCTGAGCTACTGAACTTCTGCTTTGAACAAATCCTCTTAGAGAGATTGTGAGTTTCCGTATTTTTTCCTAAATAGTATCAAATTTGCTCACTTTGCAAGCAGAAAGACTGGACTTTCTTGCCAAGTCCTGCAAGCTAAAGCAATCTTTATAGAAATTTAAGAGCAGATGAAAATTAGTCATTTAGCTCCTACTGCACTGAATTCAGTGATTTTTGCTTTACTGAAGTCAATTGTCTAGGAGGTGTTTTGTCTCAAATGTAGAAATCCTTGAAGACAGTGAGAAATGGAGTAAGTTATTTCTGGTTGCAGTTTGTTTGTCTTTATTCTCCATGGTACTGGAGAATATGTGTAGCTAATACTGTAGTAGTCACTAGCAAACAGGAACACAAGAGACTAGGATTGTACTTCAGCTACTCTGCAACTTCATTTCAATCCCGTTGTTACTTTGCCATTGCAAAGGAGGGATTGCTAATTTGTTCCATTGCTCAGTCAGCTCTTGCATGACCTTCATTCTCTTGTTTTAACTGCACTGCTGCTGCTGGGTCCTACTGCCTTCTGTAATGGTTGATATAGGCAGAAATCCCAAACAGGAGGAGCCCCAAACCTACCCTTTTCTTCCTGGAACAGTTCTTCCTTCCTCCTGTGTTTCCAGATGTGAAATAACAGAGGTAAGCTGTTGTATTGAGCAACCTTCTGCTACAAGGGCGGGGGGTGTTGAAAAAGCTGACTTGCTCTTTGGTAAACCATACTGCCAAGTCTTACCTGGGCCATAAAGGCTTGACTGTTTGGACAGGACAGTTCTTTATTTTGGTGCAAAATGGCTTCCTCCATAGTGATAAGCTTGTAACTCCTTGACCGTGCAAGACGTTTGTTTGTGTCTCTCCTAGCACCTAGTTGTACTGTGGAGTAACACCACTTCAACTCCACCACCTAGGCAGTGGCACTGCTGAGCTGGAGCTGGAAAACAATGAAGTGGAATACCCACTTGTCTGGCAGCCATCTGCAGCTTGAAGTAAGCAGGAATACTGCCCTAAAGACGTGCTTTTCCTGATTTCTCTGCTAAGGAGGTTGCCTAACGTTTGCTTATCACAGTGATTAATATATTTGAATGCTTCTGTGTCATTGCCAAAGGATAATCCTGGAAAATGCGGCTGTAAAGTCTTTGGCAAACTCGTTCTAGTGCAGGGCACTGAGAATTCATCTGGCTTTCATTGCTGTCTTGTGAACAGTCACAAAAATCTTCCTGTCTTGAAAATCTTGAACAACACAACAGTAGCTCAAGGACAGCCTTCAGTGTTTTTCCAAAGGAAGCAGCAAGTAAAGAAAGAAATCAAGTTCCACATCATTTATAGAACTAAGAAAACAGGAATTATCATCTTTCCCATTTTCATTAACATTAGAAGTGGATGAACTGTACCGAATAAGGTGAATACACAGTAGAGAAGATAATTTTTATTTTAAAATGCTTATCTAAAATGGATTAGGCTTAGTTTTTAAAAAACCATCAAGGACAAGTGTTAATTTAACCCCAAAATGATGACTTGGCTTCACACAACTAAAAATTTTAGTGATAGACCACACTACGTAAACACAGTTCCAAATGAATCTCTTTTCAACTAAAAGTCTTTCAATTTTAAAATTGTCTATAATAGAGATACAGGCCCCTTGTCTCCTAGAAATCCACCACCCTAGTTACATTCCTGTAGCACTTGAAACCATTTAGAATAGGATTGTTACATATGCTTTTGAACATGGCTCTTATGCAGGTTTTCAGATCCCCTACTGTCAGAGGTGTAACGAGTGCTTTGGACAAACGTGGTCTTGTTTTTGGAAAGAACAACATCTACCTGGCTAGTGAGAAGCCCAGTCAGGTTCAGGTACTGTACATAAATACATCCAAAACAAGTAATTTTAAAAGAATTCTCTGGCAATATGTTAATTACCTCCAGGAAATTCTGTTCGTTCCTTTGGGCTTTTACCAGTATCAAGCCATATGCTCTTTAAACAATCTCCATTAAATTCCTGATTAACATCATCTCAGTTATAGAATTGTTTATAGATTAAGTCCTCAGAAAATGCCCTTTTTAATCAGAATATGGGTAAACATTTTGTTGTTAAAATATGCCATTATTTGAAAAAAAATCCCCCAACTTAATAGCCCAAGTTTCCCAATACTTGTCAGTTAGAAAAGATGCTCCTACCTCCTTTTCTTTCCTGCTTACAAACATTTGTTTTCCCTGTTATATTGACTGTAGTAGCCCAGACCAGTTAAGTCTGACTTTAAATGGTGGGAAAAAACCCAGAGTAACAAAGAACTTAGTAATGGAAGTTAGTGCTTTTCTTAGAAGAATTCAAGTTACAGATGACAAGTCTATCAAGCGAACTGTTTACCTATTTAGGCTTAGTAGGCACCACTTGAGTTATGCCTTCCACCCCATGACAACTAATACTCTTCATACACAAAAGAATCAACCCTCCACTTGCATATTTAGACATCTTAATGTACAGAAGTTTTAAACTAGTACACTGAGGAATGACATACCACAAAAGTAGTTACAAAATTAAGTGCATTAAGAGAAACCCCAAGGCAAATTTGTATTTTCTTAAATGGAATTGCTGGTTGGGAAGCTAGTCATGTCTGTCTGCTCCCATGCTGTCTTGATAGGGGCTGGTTCATACTCACAAAGATTGCTCCAAACACAGGTATCGGTCTTGAGAACAGACACAAATACAACCCTCAAACCAGCTGGCTACACACAATACAGGTTGGCCTACAGTTAAGGGTGCTTTAGCGGTAGCAGAGGGTATTTCTAGGTTATCACAAGCTAACTAGTTTCTAGTTTACATTCAACAAGTTACAGAAAAGACAAAGATTACAGAATGTTAACAATATGATACCTTGTGCATAACACAGGACTTCACAGTAACTACAGCTTCACCTGTGGGAGACAAAGAGATGTCTGGTAAACGCACAGTCTGGTCTACCTTATTCAGCAGTCTGGCAGAGAAGATGAGTCACTTTGAACAGCTGAGATGATCACTGCTCTACGAGGCAAGCATTTAGCTTTCTGCATTTTAGCCGAAGATAGGGGCTGGGGGGAGTCAAGGGTAGTCGTAGCACAGCGTTTCAGATGGCTTCTGTCATGAAAAGTTCAGGAGTTTGATTTTTTTTTTTTACGCTCTGAACTTGTGCCATTAGCGGTAACCGAACCGTACTGTAGTACTGATCTTGTGAACAGGAATCCAACAAAGCTTTCAGGAAAATCTTCCTGGTAAATCTCTTAATGAGAAGACAGTATGGTCAGAATCCTTTTTTTTTTTAACCTAAAGCTAAGAACATAATCAGGACAGCGTTTCAGCCTGGTTACAGATAGCATAAGCTAGCAATTTCATTTAGGAGGTCCAGAAAAATACATGATACTGTGTAATATCCGAGGACGAGAGTTGTACTTTCTGTCTATGGTGCAGTAGAAGGGTGGCCAGAATAGGCACAAGGGTAGCCTGCAGCATGGGCCATTCTTCATCAAGCTAAGTTAGCTCCTCTTAAGCTCCTCTGAAAACTAGGCTGGGGATTTCTCTACTGCATGCTCAGGGGAGAGATCCATTCTTGGCAGAGGACTCTTTCTCATCTACCACCAGTCCGCACGTGCTGTTCCTGTAGTACGGCTGTACAAGTTAGCTGACTTCAAAGTTACTACGCTTATTGCTAGCTGGTTTCCATTTTATAATGTGCAGGAAAAGAGTCATTGCAGAGCTCAAGCTGCTTTAAAACAAGCCTGTAGAGATTTAAGATTATTTTTTTCCACCACTGAAACAGTGCTAAAACTTCACAAGAAAATACTACTTCGTTTGGGCCCTTACTGAAGCCTTGAGAAGATAATCAAAGCATATTCAGATGAGTTTGCTCTCATCATTGCTGCATTTATATGAAGAGGGGGACTAAGTTGCATCATGAACCTCCTTTGTTCACAACTTCCGTCATTCTTCACCGTGCTCAGATAAGTGGGTCTTCGTATCTTCACGGTTTTGAACTAATTAGGGAAAAAAAAAAGGTATAGAAATCTTTTTCAAAGGCAGAAGTGATAGTTCTTCACCTGGAAAACAATCTACAACACAGCAGGAGGAATTTTGAAAGGACTGTTCAGTACTGTGTAGCAAAGCTACAGACTCTGTCCCTCCCCACCACACGTTAAACAGTAGCTTCAGTGATGCTATACCGAAAACAGGTCACACTGTCAACATGAGGGAAAGCTCAAAGAACAAGCAGGAACTAGCTAGTTATATCTGCTACCGGGTACCATTCAAAATACCATCTTAATATTTTTGGCATGTGGTACTTAAGGTAAAACTTCTTTTTTCTTTTTTACCATTTTCAATCCCGGCAAGTGCTGCTTGCTTGTCTGTTTCTGATCCAGCTTCATTCTCATCTAAATTGTAATCGACATCCTTATCCTGGGTCAGTGCTTCATGTTCCTGTTTGTCTGGAAAACCATTAATTAGTTTTACGCCTTACCATAAGGTCATCTGCACAAAGAACAGTTACTGTAACAGTCTTCCACAGAATTTACTTTGCTGCTGAATGAATTGCTGTTTAGAGTAGGTTTTAATATTGTTTTTCCTTTTGAACTGTTAAATTTCAGAGCAGCTTTGGCTGTAAATCTTGTCTGAAGAACTAGATAAAAGAGAATCTGTTGGAATTTGGAAAGTGTAATAAAATTCAGCCAGCACTCAGATGGACAGAAAGGAAAAGCATTAAACAAATTTCAGGATACATTGAAGGATGGCCTAAGGATGAGTAAAACCCAAAGCCAATGCTGAAAACTTGACTGTGGCGCTGCTTTTAAATGTATTACCACCACCACTAAAATGTGTCTCAGCTTCCCCTTTCCTGTTTTAATTTGTCCACCAAGCAGAAAGCTGTGAATGTAGCATAAAGAATATTTTAGGATATGCTAACTTGACACAAAAGTGCTTTTCTGTAAGAGATTTTCTTCACCCAGTCATTAATTTGTCTCAACTTTGATTGACTATCTTAAGATTTCTTTATATAGAGAGCTCAAAAATGCCGAACTACTACCCTTATTCTTTAGTTAACCAGCCACAAAAAAAACTTAACAGCACAGAGGTGTAAGCAAATCGCAGTCACTTAAGCCTCTAATTAGTAACTGGCTTGGAAACAGACTTGAAAATTTTTAGCCTTATGTTGTCTGTGTTCAGACCACCACATCAAGTAGATTTTTTACAGTTAGGGACCTAAAGGTCTCAAACTTTTAAAAGGAGCTGAGAGGGATGCTCAGAGAATGTAGAAGGAATGATTTTCTACCTTGGGTTCCTTTGGCTACAAGAAATCTATGCAGTAAGGTATGGTATTTTTGTTGAACAAGCAAGCCTGAAGAACAGCCTGCTAGTCTTTAGCTTACAGAAACTCTGACCTTTCACAGGCTACACAGCAAAGTTTTTTTCTTGCAGTAATTGTTGGATTATTTTTTTCCTAATCTTTCTGCTACTTATTTCCCTTAAAATGGAAGCAGTTTAGGTGACTTGTATTCACATCTCTTTGGGCGACAGCCTGCTCTGGCCAGCATCTGTTTGGAGCGGTTGGAAAAACACTAGTTCAGCAACGCAGATGAGATTATTTGTCCCTGCCAGGTTATCAACAGTGTTAACATCATTACTTGTGATTCTACGAATGCATTTATGAGAAAAGCACGAACAGCACTTTTTGTGGGATTAAATTCCTGCTCTGACTGCCATAAGGCTCTCCCTCTTGATTACTCTCAGCTACTGGGTTCCCCGCTGAGACAAAGTTCCTCCAGACAGACAGAGGGATGTCTAGGTTCTGCTCAGGTTTAGGCACAACATCAATACGCTGCTGCTGGGCGCTGCGGAGACACGTGGTTCAGGGTCACATGTGGTAGATGCCAGAAACTGGCACCTTTGCAACATCTGATCTGCAGTTTTGCAGACTCACAATAATGAACTTTAGATACGTGAAGTTTTAGGTTGAGCTTTATTCATGGTAGCTTACTTTGAAATAGGGATAGCTACCGCTTCCACACTGTCGCTGTGAAAAGACTATCTACAAAACATCAATACGTACTATCTCTACTCATCAGTGCTTTGGTCAATGGTTAATGTCTCATCCTTTTCCAATGCATTATGTTCTTATAAAGCCTCAACACCAAAAAGTTTTGGGGCTCATTTCCCTAAATGCCTTGTACAGCCAATGGAGAGAGAGACAGGAAGGCTGCTATGGTGATGTGGCATGACCCAGCCTGGTAGCTCCATGTTGCACAAATGGAAGACTCCATCTTTACCCCTGGACTGTAGAAGACTGCTGGGGACTGACGAGCCTTTTACGTCTCACACTAACCTTTACGAAACCTTACACTAAGCCCAGCCAGCTGGCACCGCTGCTGCAGAAATCGTGCCCAACCGTCCACTTCTTTACTGTTCTTAACAATATGTCACATGCTACCAACCAGCCTTTCCAGGGGGTGAGTCATCCTGCTTGGCGTCGTAATTTAGGAGGTGCTCCCTCTCAATTTCCTCAGTAGGAGCCTGCTCTGCTGCCAGCTGTAACGCATCTTGCGCAGTTACATGTTTTTCATCTTCAGACAGATTCGGCTCCTTCTCTGACTCAGGCAGCATCTCCTTATGACCTGCAGCAGCTTTGAGTGAATCCTGTGGGTTTTTCAGTTGACTAGAAAGCTTCTCCTCTTCTGCCTTAGGCTCCTGTTTTCTGATGTCAGCTAAGCTGTTTATTCTTTCTGTAAACAACAAAGATGATTCTGAGTAAAAAAAAAACTAATGCCTTTCAGTGCTGGCATAAATTAAAAACCTTTAATAAATATTGCTTTATCTTTCTCGTTCAATTCTTCTTTTTTCTCTGAAAGAGTATCTTTCAATGACATCAGTTCCGAAGATAAAAAAGACAACCCATGTTTTTCCTACTGGGAACAGCTAAAGGATGAGACATTGTTTACCGTCTACAGAATCATGCTTCTGCCTACTTAGAATTTTGGTATGTGCAGTTAATAAATTGGGCAGGTGAAACAGAGCAGTTTAAATGAAATTTGCAGTGTGCTGTGTAAGCATCAGGTTTCTGTGTGTTGCATTTCATTACCAACAGCAGAACTTAGGCCGTGTTTAACAGTAGCTCAGGACAAAGCAGTCACATGGACAGATTTGCAAGTAAATCGAGGCTGTTCTTACTTTTAAATAGGAAGAGGAAGTACAGGAGGGCTATTACTTTTAGCAGACATTACTGTATCTTTTTCCTGTGTATCTGTATTGACTAAACTAAACTAAACTAAAATTTGCCTGAATTAAGTATATATAGATATTGTCTTCAGTTCCTAGCTCTCTAAAATGAGTTGCATGCTCCCAAGACTGTAATTTGAGATAGCATGTAAGAATAATTAAATAGCAAATTGAATTTCTATCATCACACAGTACTATGCAAGCTAACGCACAAGGATACATCCATTCAAATTAATAGTTTCTGAGAGTTTAGTGCCAAGAGCAACCCTTGAGTTAACTAATCTGATCTCCTGCGTATCATTTCTCTTGCTTGCACTTTGCTCAGTGACAACACATGGGAAGCATGGATGTGTGTTTGTTTAAAGCCTAACTTGCAGCTATTCCACAGGGAGGGTTGCCAGCTAGATGCATCAAACTTATTAAGAAATAAAATTTTAAATGTGCTTGAAAATGATTGCTTCCAAAAGCATGGTATTTTCTCCATATTAAATGAGGAATGTATTATTACTTCAGAATTGTAAATATTTGTATTTTCCTTTACATGCAACATGTCAATTACAGCAAAACTGAACTAGCAGAAATGCTGGTAATAAAAATGCTTGAATAGATATTATACCTCTCCACAGCTGGAAAATTGATTGAAGTTCAGTTTCCTGGTGTCACTTTTTCCATCTTAATCTTATGTACAAACATGTTTTGTAAATGTTCAATTAAATTACAACCATTCATAACCAGTTGCTAGCAAAACAGTGATTTCCATCTCACCTTTAGCCTGCAGCAGGTCTATCTTTTTCACTGTAGGTCCTGCTTTAGGTCCATCTTCATTGCGTTTCTGCTGTTCCAAGTCAGCCTGCTTGAACTTGGTTTGCTTCATGGCTGGCAGTTGAGTACTGACCTATAAAGTGAATGTACACAGATCAGATAAATATTGGTCTACATAACTACTCCCAGACTGGGAAAGGGAAGTGGAAGTTAGATTAAGAATTCAGTAGGGGAAAAAAATATCCTAACACACTTGGAAATATTTGAAGTGAAATTTTTATTGGTGATGGACGTACCATACAATCTTGAATATGCAGTAATGTTTCTATATAACAGCACAGCACATGGGGAGAATTTAACACACCTTCTTTAATCTAATTGCGGCTAATGCTGAGGTTACTGTTCTTAGTTAGTGTTTCACAAGGAACGCTACCTGTTATTCTCTGAGGGTCCCAGAACTGTAACACCACACATTTCTCCACTGTTGCCCTGCTGCCGTGTCAGGATCAGCAGAGCAAAAAACCAGATGGCATTAACTACTGTTAGTAATCTACAGGGACAGGTAAACTGAGTTTGGGTATGATAAGACTTCAATTAAGCACGTCTGTGCAGAACTGGTCTAATACTGTTGAATACAGGAGAAAAAACTTAACCCTAGACAACAGTATCTGTTTAACATGACGGAGATTACTTAAGCGTGTATTAAATACTGGTACTACACTGCTCTTGGCATCTAACCTGCTTAAAGATTAATGGCTAAGATGTATTTCACCTGGAAGATCTTCCAATTTAGCAGTTAAAACTGTATGCGCAATTTTCACAACTTTTTGTAGTTGGCCAAAAGCTATTGCAATTTGGTTCACACAAGCACAGAACATGAAATGTTTCTGGAGCCCATGCTGCGCTATACCAGCCTCAGTGCAAAAAAGCCAGACTCTTATGAAACCATTTGTTCTATGGGGATTTTTTGTTGTGTTTTAGTTTGTTTTGTTTAAAGAAATCAGAAGATGCAGAGAAAGAACAAGCATACAGACATTTAGACACACACATTTTTATACCTGGTACTATACAAATCAATTGGAAACCTTACAGTATAGAAAGTCATACGGTCACAGAAAGTTTTCTGTTACAATTGCTGGTAAGACTGTACATACCCATTGTTCTAAGCAGGTCAATAAAACACTAGGTTGTGAAGTGTTCACGTAGTCATTTGGAAAAATGCCTGCAGAAAGCAGTGGTTAAATAACCAAGAAGCCAAAGTTGTAGAGGATTTGTAGGACATGATTACTTGGCTGTTTTGAAAATGTTTAGGCTCAGTCAAAACAAGCAGAACTAAAGACCTTGTTGGGTCAACACCATGAAGTCCAATATAAACAACAAATAATCTAGCATTAACTTTTAGGAAAGCTTGAGAAGCGAGTACTACCACAGAGAATTTATTTATTGCAGTTAACTCCATCTTCAGTCACTAAAACAAAAATACTGTATTTAAAAATGCTTCTGTTTTATAAATAATTCAGCCTCTTGAGGTTACTCTCCACAGTAGAAATCATCAGAAACTGAACATAAGACCATTTTTCACTTTATGCTGGGCATGAATTCTTCTGTAAAAATACTAAGCTGCACATAATACCAAGAAATTACCTCTTATTTAAACATGCAAAAGCCTTAAACTTCTATTATCTTGAATTTCTAGCTCAGTAATTTTTAATGACTGTGTCAAATAAATTAAAATGGTGTATGCTGAAAATGTTTTATGTTGAAGTGGTTGCGTAAAAAGATAATTGGAACATGCTGTATTCTTCAACTGAGAAGTATACATCATTCCTTAAAATACAGAGCTGTAAGAAAAGCTGTATAGTTTTTAACCAACCATCACTCCATTTTCTTTCTCTGCCTTATTTTAACTCTGACCCTTCTAATACATAAGTATGTACATCTTACAAACAGGAATTATTCCAGATAAAAACACTGGCTAAAAATGTACTCAGATTTCCTGAGGGTCACTCTACACTAATCATAGAATCACAGACTGGTTTGGGTTGGAAAGGACCTTAAAAGATCATCTAGTCCAACCCCCCTGCTATGGGCAGGGACCCCTCCCACCACACCAGGTTGCTCCAAGCCCCATCCAGCCTGACCTTGAACACTGCCAGGGAGGGGGCAGGTACAGCTTCTTCGGGCGACCCGTGCCAGTGTCTCACCATCCTCATTGTAAAAAAGTTTCTTCCTTATGTCCAATCTAAATCTGCCCTATTTTCAGTTTAAAACCGTTGCCCCTTGTTCTGTCACTAGAGGCCTCAGTAAAAAGTCTCTCTTATAGGCCCCCTTCAGATACTGGAAGGTGGCTGTAAGGTCTCCCCAGAGCCTT